CGCGAGTGCAGGCCGAGGCGAAGACTTAAGCCACCTTGGAATTCTTCAAGTCACCCCGGGGAGCAAGAGGCGAAGATCTGGAACCAGAGGCAGAGACGTGGGCCGCCAGGTTGGAATTTGCCAGGTTAGTCCGGGGAACTTGGACTGAATGCCGGTGGTGGCGGAAACATTCGCGGAAGCCGCCGCGTGCAGAGAGAGCACGGGGCGTGAATAGATGGGGAACGCCGGGGCTGGCGCGAGGCCGTGGTGCGGGCGCGAAGTGCGTGGAGACCGCGGAGCGTGCGCGCAGAGCCGGGAACCCGCCGGCGGGGCGAGGCGCCGGGAAGCCGCGCAGAGCCGTGAAGCTGCCGCGGGGCGAGGCGCCGGGAAGCCGCGCAAAGCCGGGAAGCCGCGCAGATCGGAGAAGCGCGGGCTGAAGCGGCTCAGAGCCGGGAAGCCGCCGAGAAGCAGTCTCGGGGCGGGCGCCGGAAAGCCGCAGGGATAAGAGAAACAGAAGTTTTAGAAGTAAAGTGAGAGAAATAGGAATGCTGGAAGATAGAAGTAAAATGGGAGAAATAGGAATGCCCGGAGATAGAGAAATAGAGAAATAGAAAGGCCTCCCCTCAACATGCCAATTAGAAGGCTTGGATTCGGTCTGCCCGATTAGTGAGGCGATGAGCACCTGGGCGGCTAGCCGCAGGTCACCGAAGACAGGCACGAATTAACATCAGTAAAGCTTCCCCACAATGCAACAATTAGGAGGCTTGGATTCGGTCTGCCTGATTTAAGGCGGTAAGCGCCAGCAAAGCTCGACCAGAGTATGAGCTGCAGGTCACCGAAGATAGGCACGAACCAACACTAATAAGTCTCCCCCACAATAAGGCAATGAGAAGGCTTGGATTCGGTTTGCCTGATAGGTCTTGTAAGTCCCCTGCAGGCAGAGCAGAGCATGCGCTGCAGGGCACCGAACACAGGCACGCATCAGCGCCTAAAAACCTCCTCACAACATGGCGAAGAGAGGACCCGGATTCGGTTTTCCTGATTGATAGGACTTGTAAGAACCTGTGGCAACTCTAGCAAGTAGAGCAGAGTGTGTGCTGCGGGACACCGAAGACAGGCGCGTATCAACGCCAAAAAAATAAAAAGAAAGGGGGATCTGTGGGGAGCAGCTCGGACTAGGCTAAGTTACTGGAATTAAGACTTATTCTATGCATCTGCTCTCCTCTGTGGGGAGCAGCTCGGACTAGACTAAGTTGCTGGAATTAAGACTTATTCTATGCATCTGCTCTCCTACAATATGGCGCTGGGAGAGGAGAAAACAGCTTCTACCCAGCTGCCTCCAGTTCAACCAATAAACTGTAGGACTTGCTCCTGATTGGAGAGCAGCGTACTCGGCGTGTGGGCAGCCGAGTTAGGATTGGCAGAAGAGGACTATAAGGGAGGAGAGAGACGGCATGCACGAGGAACATCTATGGGGAACATCTAAGGGAACCCGTGCAGCCCCCAGAGAGCCGGCCGGCGGTGTGCCGCTCCCCTGCGGAAGTGGGGAATGCGGCCAGGGGGAACTGCCCTTCCACGGAGGTGGAAGGGACAGTAGCCAACCCGGGAAGAACCAGCAGCAAACCCGGGGAGGGCCGAGCAGACGAAAGAACAGCGCAGGGTCCTGTGTCGTTCCTCCACGAAGAGGGGGAGCGACACCAGACATCTCACAGATTGGCTAGTCCCTTCACCCCTCTCGTAGCCACATAAATGCATGATTCTTTTGCTTTTGGCTTTCAATTATCAATTCAGTTACCTTTTTCACTTCTCTCATCCTGTGACCAACATAAAACTGTATCATCTCTCAAAAGAATCATAGGCTGTCAAGTAATGGTGCACTACTAGTAGGAAATCAAAATGTGCATACTTTCTGGGGAAAAATCCAAAACATAAAGTCATTTATACCAAACATCTTAAGATGCTATTCCCCTGTATACCTAAGATCAGGCTTGTGGGGAAACCTAGAGGTAGATGGAGTTAATTCAGACACAATGTGTTTGTTTAATCATCATGGAATGCATTTTGTGAGTTATGTACATCCCAATATTTATAAATGGGAAACTAAAACTATGACTCTCAGTTCAACCTTGCAAATATTTAGGAGCTTTATACTGCACTGCTGTAGTGAGAGAATAGGCATGATGTCTAGTGAATTCTTCCATGAAATGGTACATCTGTAGTTTTAAGGGTGCTGTTTTAAAAAGACATCTAAATTAAGTAAAATTTTTATACATATAATGTTAAATTTAAAATTACAATAAATTTTATATGGACTATATTATCTTAACTGTGGAGGATAAACCTATTTACTGTTTCAACAAACACTGAGCTCTTAAGTGTTTGGTAACCCTTCTCCCACTAATCAAGCACCTTGTTGCATTTTGCATCCTGGTAACTGCAGATAATATGAGTTCACATGGGGGAAAGAAACACGACAGTTTTGGACAAGTCTTTATAGGGTGTTGCCCTCTGGTCTGTGAGCCCAGAAATTGAGTGATTGTCTGGGAACCCTAAATTATTGAGGTACGTAGAGATAACTAGTGTAATGAGTTCTAGAGTTTTCCAGTGAAATACTTCATGAGAGCTACTGTGACCACAACATTTATGAAAATGTTTTCTAACGCACCCCAATTAGAGATAGTCACCTGTTGATCCAATGTTGGAGCCAATGGAAAAGAGAGTCCAGAGGAAGAGCCTCTGACCCCAGCAGAGTCTATATCAATGGTTAGTAGGATGCTGTAGACCTGTGCTGCAACTCATCCAATGGGGAAGGCTTGTATACATTATTGTGAGGGTCCTGGTTTGTATTTTTTTTTTGACAGGCAGAGTGGACAGTGAGAGAGACAGAGAGAAAGGTCTTCCTTTGCCGTTGGTTCACCCTCCAATGGCTGCCATGGCCAGCGCGCTGCAGCCAGCGCACCGCGCTGATCTGATGGCAGGAGCCAGGTACTTATCCTGGTCTCCCATGGGGTGCAAGGCCCAAGCACTTGGGCCATCCTCCACTGCACTCCCTGGCCACAGCAGAGAGCTGGCCTGGAAGAGGAACAACTGGGACAGAATCCGGCGCCCCAACCGGGACTAGAACCCGGTGTGCCAGTGCCACAACGTGGAGGATTAGCCTACTGAGCCACGGCGCCGGCCCTGGTTTGTATTTTGATATTGCTATGTTTTGCAACATAAATACATCCTTTCTGCATTTGGTTAATAGATTTCTTCCTGCAAATTTTGTAATGAAGTTGTTAATATGTTTTTTTACAGGTAGAGTTACAGACAGTGACAGAGAGATGGAGAGAAAGGTCTTCCTTCTGTGGGTTCACTCTCCAAATGGCCCCTACAGCCAGCGCTGCGCTGATCTGAAGCCAGGAGCCAGATGCCTCTTCCTGATCTCCCATGCAGGTGCAGGTGCCCATGCACTTGGGTCATCCTTCACTGCCCTTCCGGGCCACAGCAGAGAGCTGGACTGGAAAAGGAGCAACCAGGACTAGAACCAAGTGCCCATATGGGATGCCAGTGCCACAGGCAGAGGATTAACCAAGTGAGCCATGGTGTCGGCCCCAAAGTTGTTAACCTTGACAGAACCAACTACATAATTTGTAGGACCTAGCAGATACTGTAAATGCTGAACAACTCTTTAAAAGGACGTTAAGCACTTGAATATAGAAATACAAGGAATTCAGACTTTGTTTATATGAGAAACCACCATGGTGCATCCCCAATCATAATGTGTCCACATGCAACTGTTGCTTTGAGCAGTAGTGGTCATAAGACAATGGCAAGAAAGGGAGGTTTTTTGAGACCATGATATTTAGGAGAGTGGCTAAATCTACACCAGGGAAGCAGTGAGAAATCAAACTGTTTATGAGCCCTGGCTCCAAGCCTCAGAAGTTGCCCCAGACTACCATCAGATTTCACTTACAGAACACAAATTCAAGTTAAATTCAACAAGAATTTGAACAGCAAACAGAGTGTTAAACCTCAAGAATGAGGATCCTCTTCTGAGTTTGCACCAGGTTCAACTGCACTAGTCACATCCTCATGAATCTGGTCCTGCATTTTCAGTTCCATAGTTCAATTGGTCTAACATACAAGCTGCCTACACTGTCTAACTCCCTCTATATACACACATTGGAATGCATACATATTGAGAGAATAGTATATAATATATGTGATTCTGATTTCAGTTTTCATTTTCCTGGTTTTTTTTTCAGATGGATGTTCATTGGTTTTATACTTCCTGGGTTTTCATTTTAGGAGGCTATGATAACAATGAAATTTGTTGTTTGGATATGCTCTTTTAAAAAAAAAGATTTATTTATTTATTTGAAAGTCAAAGTTACACAGACAGAAGGCGAGGCAGAGAGAGACAGAGAGGTCTTTCACCTGCTGGTTTACTCCCCAGTTGTTTGCAAAAGCCAGAGGCATACCAATCTGAAGGCAGGAGCCAGGAGCTTCCTCTGGGTCTCCCATGTCGGTATAGGGGCCCGGGGAGCTGGGCCATCTTCTCTGCTTTCCCAAGCCATAACAGAGAACGAGATTCGAAGTGGAGCATCCGGGACTCTTACCAGCACCCATATGGAATGCTGGCACTACATGCAGTGGCTTTACCCACTGCACCACAGCGCCAGACCCTGGATATGCTCTTGACAGACTTCCCACTATCTGTAAACTTCTGGGATACCAACCTCTTGAAATTTAGACTAGTCAAATTTATGAATATTTTAACAATTATTTCTGTCCCATGAAAACTTTCTAATCTCCTAAGTGTAAGCCTACTTTCTTTCAATTTGATTTGTATTTTAAATATAGGTACCTATTTTATGTTTATTTTGTTTTCCAGATTTATTGCAGCAAAATTGACTGAAAATTGTATATATTAGAGGTGTGCAATGTGCATTTTGATATGAGGCTGCTTAAAAAAGTTCATGGAAATTTCACATAATCTCTATGCACCATTTTTATGCAAACATTTTGGAGTCTCATGGTACTTTCATGCTGTGAAAAGATTAGTAGAAATCAAACTAATTTACATATATGTCAGTTTCATCCAAGAAATCCTCACCCACATCATGTTTTCAAATGTTCCCCCTACATTTTATTCCCCCAGCTTCATAGTCTCAGTCTCAAATTCAGGTCTTCAATCCCTCTTAAGTTGATTTGTATATGGTGAGAGCTATGGATCTAATTTCATTCTTCTTCATATATACGTCCAGTTATGCCATCACTGTTTATTGAAGAGATTTTCCTAATACTCACAGTTACTCCTCAAATTACATGCTTGAGAACATTCTAAGCTATTTGGGATAGCTGTAACTTGGTGAGAGAAAGCAATAAAGCACCATTGCAACTAAGAAAGCGCTTCTGTCTGCAGGTGCCATGGGGGTTGGGGACTTCTCACTCAACCTAGCACAGCTGTGACCTTGTGGCTAGTTAGTCAGCAATCACTATTTTCTCCCATCTTTAGACACCTGCACCTGGTTCCAACCATTCCCACACAGGCATGACATCCTATGGTGCATGGAACTGGGAGGCTCAGAATCATCACCTCCCTGGGGTCTGCAGAGAACCAACTTTCCTAATCACTACTACTGCAGCAAGAGCAAGAATGACAGAGAAGCACCTGTGCCAGCAAGTTTAGGGGAGGCACCCAAAGCACCAGCCCACGCGTGGCACGCATGCACAGCAGCCCTCAGCATGCATCTTGGCTGCTTTTTCGCTCAAAGAAGAAACAGTGGTAACCTGCAAGACTCCCACCCTCAGGGTCCCAACTGGATGACCAAGTGGGATTGGGACTCAAGCTAAAGACCCAACAAACCCGAAGGTCTAGGTATGGGCCTGGCAGAGACATGTGAGCCTCCAGCCCATCACGGCTCCAGGACCCTCCCTGCACCCAGCATGTACTCACTGCCCCTGGTCACCCGCACAGTCAAGGCCAGGAGTGAGGGCCCTCAGGGCCCACTATGATGGAGCCCAAGCTCTGGCCAGGTGTGTGGAGCAGCTGAAGACATGGGCACGTGCAGACTGAAGAAAGTTTGCACAAGTCAGGAAGGGACAGAAGAGCCATGTCCCCTCCAGGCCCCACTCTGCCTGCTGCTGTTGCATGTCTGCATGCTCCCACAGGAGGGGGCTCACCACCAGCTAGTCAGCGGTGCTCCTGCAGACACCTTTCTGTGTGGGTTTGTTCCCAAGACTGTGGCCACTGGAGGTGGAGCAGGAGCCCACTGAAGGGCCACAGACACTCACAGGCCTGTCAGCCAGGTGTTGGAGTCCCTTGGTCCCTCCCTCCTCACCTAGGGGCCTCAGGGACTTGCAGCCCTTGCTCACCAACTGTGGGAACCTGGCTTCTTGCCAGGCCCAGTCCACACTTTCAGAGTGGAAACCCAAAGCTTCCCCAGGGTGTCAGCACAGATCTGTCCTGGGCCCTATTCTTTCTAGAGCAACAGAAAACAAACATATTTAAGTTTCCTAGAAGAGACTGATTGGCCTCCCCTGGTAAACAGTCCTGGATACATTGTTTTCTGAAGCTGAAATATAAGGTTTCCAAGACCCACCTTTTGTAAAGAAGAAACAAGTAAAGCAAATGTCGTGGAGGCTTTGTTTGATCTGGACTCTGCAAAGCAAAAATAAGGCAGAGGCACTCAAGAGTTGAGTTTGCCTGGTGAGCTCCCAAGCAGGAAATAAGGAGAGGCAAAAAGTCCTTCTCACTCATGCTTCAAAGCCCTGGGAAACTGCCAATTCCATGTGCCTGTCTTCCTAACCATTTGCCACTCATTCATTCATGTTTTTGTTGTATATTCAACATTGATATGGGGGGAGGGGGCGTTTGGCCCAGAAGTTAAGACTTGTTTTGGGATGCTCCCATCCAATAGGGGAGTGCTTAGGTTTGAGTCCTAGCTACCTTGTAGATTCCAGCTTCTTACTAATGCGCACCCTGGGAAGCAGCAAGTAAGCCCTCAAGTGCGTGGGTTCCTGCCATCACCTGGGAAACTGAGCTCTGGCCTGCTAGCCATGGTCCTGCTCCTGCCATTAGGGACATTTTGGGAGTGAACTAGCAGATGTTTATTGCAGCTCAATTCACAATAACTAAGACATTGAATCAACATAAATGCTCATCAACAGAAGATTAATAAAGAAATTACGGGATATGCACTTTATAGAATCCTACACTATGGTAAAAAAGAAATCCAGTAATTTGCAACAAAATGGAGGAATCTGGAAAACATCATGCTGAGTGAAATAAGCCAGTTCCAAAGGGACAAATATCATGTGTTCTCCCTGATCTGTGAGAACTAACTGAGCACATAGAAGGAAACCTGTAGATTTAAACTAACACTATAACAATGGCTTGATCAGTCTCTTTCCTCACTGTCGAGGAACAGCTTGCTATTTTATTCATTTTAGTATTTTCTCTTTGTACTTAATACCATTAGTTGAACTCTTTAATTACCACACAATTATTCTTAGATGTTTAAATTCAACTGAAAATTGATCCCTGTTAAAACTAAGAGTGGGAATAAGAGAGGGAGGAAATCTACAGTTTGGCACACTCTCACTCAGATTTACCCCTAATGGTAAAGCTAGAAATGTGCCATGGGACTCCAAGTCCCATTAAGCTGGCAGGTACCAATGCCATCTTACTAATTAAAGTGATCAGTTTAAGTTCATAATTGATCATAAAGATAGGATTAGTTGTCAGAGGGATCACATAAATAAGACCAGTGTCTGTTAATAATAATTGATAGAATTAAAAAGAGAGAATGATCCAACATGGGAAGGGGGATACTCAGCAGACTCATAGAATGGTAAATGCCCTAAATAGCTCTCTGGCCTCAGAATTTGCCCTTAAGGCATTCAGATCTGGCTAAAAAGCCCATGAGAGTTTCTCAGGCATGGAAAACCAAGACACTGTGGCAAAAAATGACCTAAATGAACGATCTCTGTGAGTGAAATCCCAGTGGAAAGAATGGGCCATCAAAGAAGTAGGTACCTTTCTCTGAAAGGAGGAGAGAATTTCCACTTTGATTATGACCTTGTCTAAATAAGATCAGAGTCTGTGAACTCAAGAGGCTTCCGGCCAGTGCTGCGGCTCAATAGGCTAATCCTCTGCCTGTGGCACCGGCGCATTGGGTTCTAGTCCTCGTCAGGCACCGGATTCTGTCCCGGTTGCCCCTCTTCCAGTCCAGCTCTCTGCTGTGGCCCGGGAGTGCAGTGGAGGATGGCCCAAGTCTTTGTGCCCTGCACCCACATGGGAGACCAGGAGAAGCACCTGGCTCCTGGCTTTGGATCAGCACAGTGCGCTGGCTGCAGCGGCCATTGAAGGGTGAACCAATGGTAAAGGAAGACCTTTCTCTCTGTCTCTCTCTCACTGTCCACTCTGCCTGTCAAAAAAAAAAAAAAAAAGAGGCTTCCATAGCCTTGGAAGCTCATGACAAGAGCTTTGTGTGATTACTGATGTCATAAATAAGAGTGTCAATGTTAAATCAACAATAGGAGTCATTGTGCACTTACTCCCGAAGTAGGATCTCTGTCCTAAATGTATTGTACTATGAGAATTAACAGTAAAACTAGTGTTCAAACAGTACCATATATTTTTGTGTATCTTTGTGGGCACAAACTGTTGAAATCTTTATTTTGTATATACCAAGTTGATCTTCTGTATATAAAGATAATTAAAAATACATCTTAATGAAGAATGGGATGGGAGAGGGAGTAGAAGATGGGATGGTTTGTGGGTGGGAGGGTGGTTATGTGGGAAAAACCCGCTACTTATAGTCCAAAAGTTGTACTTTCAAAATTTATATTTATTAAATAAAAGTTTTCAAAAAAAAAAAGAGTTATCTATAGTGCTGGCATCCCATATGGATGCTGGTTCAAGTCCTGGCTGCTCCACTTCCAATACTGCTCTCTGCTATGGCCTAGGAAAGCAGTACAAGATGGCCCAAGTCCTTGAGCCCCTGCACCCACGTGGAAGACCCAGAAGAAGCTCCTGGATCCTGGCTCCTGGCTCTGGATCAGCTCAGTTCTGTCCCTTATAGTCATTTGGGAAGTGAACCAGTGGATGGAAGACCTGTCTCTCTCTGACTCTCCTTGTCTCTGTGTGTAACTCTGACTTCCAAGTAAATAAATAAATATTTAAAAAAAACTACCTGTGTGTGTGTGTGTGTGTAATGCCTTTCAAATAAAATAAATTTAAAACTTTTTTTTAAAAAACACAGTTTGGCTCAGCACGTTCAGCAACTGCTTGGGATGCCCATAACACATATCAGAGTGCTTAGCTGAATCCTGGCCACTCCACTTCTGATCCAGCTTTTTTGCTAATGTACCTGAGAGATGGTATATGATAGCTCCAGTACTTCAGGACCAAGGTTCCTGGCTCCTGCTTCTGGCTTCAGCCTGGCCCAGTCTTGGCTGTTATAGGACTTTGGGGAGTGAATCAGCAGATGGGAGATCTCAAAATATCTATTTCTCACCCCCACCCCTCATTTCAAATAAATAAATGTTGCAAAACATGAAAACCACATACACTGATCATCAACTACTCTCTGTGCCCATTAACAACTACATCATAGGAAACCACCTGTCAGGTAATCTCTAACATCAAAGACAGTGTTCTCTCTTTCTCTCTGAAAACAATGTTAGAATAATGTTAGATTCCACTTGGGCGTGCCTTTCTACCTTGCCTCCTGGAAAATCAGCATAGTTGAGTCCCATGAAGTGACTTTCTTCTGAGAACTGCACATTTTAAAGCAGTTCTTGAAGCAACATTGATACAGAGAAAATGGCTTAACAAGGCCCAGTGGCTAAGAATAAATAATCACAGAATGCCCTCCCAGGCTTCAAAAATATTTATTATTTCTTTTTAGAAATTCTAATTATTTTCTTGTACTTTCTATTTGCATCTATCATTTTCTGGGAATTTCCATTGATATCATGGGAAATATCAAAGAGACAAAAACATACTGCATCCAGGGATATCAAAGTGGCAGCTAAATTCAAATACATTCCACAGCAGGTGTCATAAAAGATGCAAATTAAAACAAGCAGTTCAGCAATTTCAACTGGGCAATTAGCAGATTTTTGTTTTGTGTTCTGGCCAGAGTAAGTTCACAAATATTCTTCAAGACACAGCTCTTGGAAGTTTGCAGGGGTCCAATTGTTCTGGAAGCCAATTAATAATGTGTATCAAGGCCCCCTTTTTTATGCACAGTGACAGAATAATTTGTCAAAGGAGTCCACTCAAAGCTAGTAGTCTACAGGGCACACATTCCATTACAAAGGTGTTCAATCAGAGTATTTTTTTACCTTTATTCATTTATAATTTGAGAGACAGAGCTCTCATCCACAAATGCCCACAATAGCTGAAAGTACTATCCAGATCTCCCACATTGGTAAGAGGGAATCAATTACTTGAGCCATCACTGCTACCTTCATTGGTCTACACTGGCAGAAAGCTGGAGTCAGGAGCTGGAGTTAGGAATAGAACTCACACATTCCAGTATAGGATGTGAGTTACTCAAAAAAAAAAAAAAAGTAACAGGGGCTGGCTGGCCCTGTGGCATAGCAAATAAAGCTGCCGCCAGTGGTGCCGGCATCTATATGGGCACTGGTTGATGTTCCAGCTGCTCCACTTCCTATGCAGCTCTCTGCTATGGAAAGCATTAGAGGATGGTCCAAGTCCTTGGGTCTCTGCACCTGCATGGGAGACCCAGGGGAAGCTCCTGGCTTTGGATCAGCACAGCTCGAGCCATTGCAGCCATCTGGGGAGTAAGCGAATGGAAGACCTCTCTCTCTCTCTCTTTCTCTCTCTCTTTCTCTGCCTCTCCTTCTCTGTGTAACTCTTTCAAGTAAAATAAATCTTTTTTTAAAAGTAACATGTTTATTTATTTTTAAAGTCAGTTTTAGCAGATATATATAGAGAGAAATATCTTCTAACTGCTGGTTCACTCCCCAGACGGCTGCAACCCTGGTGGGAGCCAGAAGCTTCATCCAGGCCTCCCACATGGGTGCAGGGACCCAAATACTTGGGCTGTCTTCCACTGCTTTTTCTAGGTCATTACCTCAGGTTTGTTGACAAGATTGACAATATATCAGAGTGATGGTTAATAAGTGAACTAAAATGCTAGGAATCTTAGCAGAAGAATAGATGACATAATCACACTAAACAGTGGGTGGGACTCAGCATTGAAGCCAATACTTGTATTAATAGCAAATCTTCTGGTATCCTTCCAGTCCATCAGAGTGTGACATGTTTAAAAATGTTTTAATGTTTTTCATATTAATTCAAATCAGGTAGAGACATAAAATCTATGTTTCATTTTTTGGGTAGAAGCACAGTTTGCCATATTCAAATACAAAATCTTGGCAACTAATGCTTGCTCATGAAAGACTAATAACAATGCATCAACAGCTACAATTTATTTCCCATTCTGTTTGAAAATGTTCAAAATGCCCTAGGTGGAGCATTTCTTCCAGAATTGTACAACTTAACTGATGTATTCCAGGGCACTCATCTCAAACTATAGGAGTGGGAGTGGGGTTTGGGGTGTCCTGATGCCAGAACCTTCATTTGATATTTGAGAGTTTAAGGCTCACTTATTGACTCAATGATTAATTTTTGAGCAATAGTTTTGTTTTTTTTTTGTCTCAATCACTGTCCCTAAGATTGAAATAGGGCAGAGGGGACAATGGACCAGATTGAGCTCCATGGTCATAAAAAAAAAAAAAAAACTAAATAAATATCTTGAAGGTGTGTGAAGGTGTCACCCAGAAAGATATGTTCAAATCAAAACCCAGAACCTATGAATATGAACTTCTTTGGGACTAATGTCTTTGCAGATATCATCAAGTCAAAATGAGGCAATATTGGATTAGAATGGATCTTAAATTCAAAAACTGATTGGTTCTTTTATAAGACTCAAGGGGAGCAGGCCATTGAAGACAGAGACAGAGATGAGAGTGATGGAGCTACAAGCCAAGACACATCAAGGATGGACAGCACCACCAAGAGCTAAAAGACATGAGGAAGGGTTCTCCCGAAGACCCTTAAGAGAGAGCACAGTCTTGTCAATATTATGGAGGATGAGAAGTAGTCACTAAATTCGCAACCCCAGGGGAAATGAAGCCCAAGGAATGATTCTTCTGTCAACACTAGTTACTGCTGACCAGTAGGAACAAAGACTTAATTCACCACATTTTGTAAGAACCAAATCACAAAGCACAATACCTAACCATTTTGAAATTTAGTGTTTTTTGAAACACCGGGAAAAATAGGAATTTAATTTCATCAATCCATGTTTTAGAACCAATTATATGGCAACCATTGTGCATATTGTGCAGAAACAATGGCCCTGCCTTCTCAGACCTATAAGTGGTCTAATAATATCATAATTAAAATAATTTCAATATTTCAAAATATAATTTGGAAGTAAAAATAACATATTGAGGTATCCAGAACCTTACAGTTTTGTAACTGCAACAAATATACTCAGCAATTAATGCTTACTTCTTAAAGTTTTAGAGCCATCCTCTGATCTAGTTGCCTCTGATGATAAACAGAGCCCCTGTATTCCCAATTAATGTAATAATATGACTGGGTTATGTACATTTTTGCATTATATGTCTCCCCCTATAACTACATTCATAAAGACGATATAACAGAATACAATTCTCAGGAACTTTTTCATGATATTAGAGAAACACTGGATATCACAGAGGCAGAATCAGAATTCAGTGGGCCAATGGCACACATACAACCATCTATTTGGGTTTCCCAGTCAATGCTATCACTGCTGTGCTGGAGAACTTGCAAACTGCAAACCGAAATAAACAATCTTAGCAAATTATGAAAAACAGGAGTCAAATCCTACAAACAGAAACTTCCTTTCTGGATGACTAGATCCATTTTCTCAGCACCTATCCACCAAGTAGAACTATAAAACCAGAAAATAACACAAGAAACCTGGAAATTAACACAGTGGCTGGGCATCTTAATTGCCCACCTAACAGAAGATGACCCACCTGCTGGTTCATCCATCAGCCAGATGAGCTCATTCCTTCTGGAACTGTACATGATAGCTCCAAGCATAAATGTGGTTTACAATATACAATTTACAATTTAAACTTTATTTATACTATACAACATACAATTTATAATATATAGTAAAACAATTTATAATATAAAATATATTGTTCAATTTATAACATACAATATAATACACAAATTATTCTTCCTTCCCCCTGGCTCCTGAAGGCTTGAGTGTCCCTGCCCTGTGGCCAGGGCCAGTACACAATATACACAAAGATTTCATAAAGACTCACCAGGCAAGGGTGGATGAACCTGAGGGTCTTGGTGAATCCACTGCCACTCCACCCACACCAACGGCCCAGCCCTTCTTGCAGGTGTTGCTCCTCATGGCGCTAACCTCCTTATTCCAAGTCCAGCACAGGGGCTCTCCTACATAATTCCAAGGAAGAATGCAGAAAAGCTGGACACCAAGAAGCAAAAAGGGTAATAGCAGAACTGAGCACCCTTTTTATAAACTTGGTAGTCAATGGCATATGTCACTTCTTATTGGATTACCTTCATGTGCCAACCAATCAGAAAACCAAGACCAAGTCTGTGCAGGCTGGCACAGGGGGCAGCTCGAGCTGTCAAAAGTAGGCAGCAAGATGAGGCTTCAGGGCAGTGGGGCCACGGGTCTTTTGTTTGTTTC